GGCATGTGCGCAGGAGGAAGGTTGCAAGGCAAAGCAATGAGTGGCGCAAGGCGCCACGACACAAGGAACAGCATCGACCGCAGCGCACATGGATATCCTCCTCAGGCCGCTTCAAGCCGTGCTGCCGACGCGCATGGTGCTACAATGCGTTTCAACCACAAATGCTCCTTCCTCACCTCTCAAGAGTCGCCTTCCATCCCCATCCAGCCCACTCCCCAGTCCACCAGTTTATGAAAGGAAAGGACGTGGAGCAACAGAACTTCCACAACTTTCCTGTGACATCTGTTGACCTAGAGGCACCGAGCGGTAACATCCACAAAACATTCTAGAAGCGCATAGGATCGTGTTGCACCGATGTTTTTATTCGTCCGGCAAAGTCAAGTCTCCACGTCAGAATCCATCATCTCTTCCCTCTGTGCAGTCCAGTCGAAACTCAACCAGCTCCCCCCCCCAACCAGCCCAACCCAACCTCAAGTCCCTCCCACGCGCCCCTCACTCATCCCAGGATTCTGCACTGTAAGGATTACCATATGCTAACACTGTACATATCCTAGGTCGTCTGTCGTTCAGCGCCTAGCGCGCGATTTATGGGAGACAGCGCTGGGGATGAGCTGTCACGGTCTAGCGCTATCATTGGCTCGCATTTAATGAGATCAGACCCCAAGGAAACCCGGAAAACGTCTAATCAACCGCACTGAAATCTCTTAATATGGACACGTTTTGTATGTGTTGTTACTAAAAGAACTTGCATGCAACAGCATCAGTGATTTTGACAAAATTTCAACAGCCCTCAGGTCAGGCAATCATCTTTAATTCATTATGTGTGTCCAACAGTTCATCAAAATTTGGTGCTACCTCTAAATTTCTTACACCCCCTTTCTACACGATCCATGGTGGCCTCTTCCATGCCTCTGTCCGTCTCTGTCTGGTTCCATCTTATATAATGCTGGTGCGCTGAACGAGCTGTGGGGGAGTGAGAAATACTTTTCTGCACTTGAGCGTTAGGATATGTAGCGAGACGGGGCAATTGTGCTGGACCATACACCATTGGGGAAGAACCATTGGCCTGAAAGGTAGCAGCTCGAAGCGGGGCAGATTTCAAGGTAGTGGTGGCGCTGCTGGTGGTGCCGGCGGTGGGCATGGTGGGCTTGTGGGTGGCGTCAGGATGAGGGCAATGAGGGCAATGTGAGCAGTGGGAGCAGGCAGAGGAGGAACCATTGGCAGCAGCAAGCAGCAGTGACGCCTGCAGGGAAGCCACCATGGCCTTGAGCTCCTCCAATGACTCTCGTGACTGAACCAGCTCCTCCTGCCATGCAGAGGGAGTGGCAAAAGGCGAGGTAGGGTGAGAAGTAACAAGGGAAGAGCAGACAAGAAAACAAAAGAGCATGAGGTCCCACAGTAGCAGGGATACACATGAGTGACACAAGAACAGCAGCAGCAAAAGCGGCGGCGGAGGCGGCGGCAGCAGTAGCAGCAGCAGAAGAAGCAGCCAGCACACCTGGATCTGGTGCAGGCCCGGCTTTGGCTTGCTGAGTGGCTTTGGTGTGGTGAAAAGGGCTTCATTCTCCCCTAGCTGTTGCAGAAGCTGGTGAGAAAGTTCCTCCACAGCAGGAGCCGAACCAGTCACGCTTTCCTCTTGGTCTTGGCCGCCTGTTGGCGAGTACGGCAGCACCTGGTGACGCAGAGCAGAGTGGGAGACAGTGCGTTAGGATCAGCTGGCACAAGAGCGGTTGCGAACGACTGGCGTGCGTTCCAAGTGTCACTCACTCCTGCAGCTAATCAGGGAAAGAGCTCATTTCAGGAAACAATCCCCCTAACGCCCCGCCCAGCGCACCTGTGTGGAGTGGCGGCGCTGCAGGATCATGGCGAGGGAGATGTCGTCAATGCTCTGCCCCTTCACCTGCAGCACCCTCTGCGGCGCCACCACTCCCCCCCCACCCGCCGCCATCGTCTTGGCTCGCTCCACCTCCGCAGCCTTCCTCCCACAGATCCCTCGTATGACGGTTGTCTTGGCCCGGCGCTGCAGCGACTGGTACCGCTGCATGCGGCGCTGCGCCTCGTCTGCGGCGAAGTCGCGAGCGCCGAGCTGCTTCAAGCGGTGCAGGATGGAGGAGTAGGAGGCGTAGCGCCCCGTGAGGCGGCAGAAGAGGTAGCGCACGATGGTGCCCACGTCCTCCGCTATGGACGTCGCCAGCTCCTGGGTCTCCTGGTGGCGGCAGGCGAGGGGGGTGCCAGGGGCGAGGGAGGGCAGAGGGACGAGAGCGGACGAGGGTGATGAGAAGAGGGCTCGGATGACAATACGAAAGCAAGAAAAGAACAGGAGACCAGAAATGGCAGCGTGAAGGGGCGACTGACCTTGATGGTCATGAAGGCGTCGACGATGATGGCGATGAGGAAGTTGAAGAGGATGAAGACGAGGAGGAGGATGAAGGCGATGAAGAAGAGCATGCCCGCCACCAGGTCCCACCCGTGCATGTGCACGAAGAAATAAGCCGTTGCATTCTCGTTCAGGATGATCAAAAAACACGCGAACAGGGCGTCAGGCAGCGTGGCAAACTGCACAAGTTGGATTCACGTGGGATAAAAAGAAAAAATAAAAAAAAGGGGGGGGGGAGGGGGGGGACGTGAGCCGATCCCCTGAAGGCATAAACGGGAATGATGGCAGAATTCTTGGAAGGAAAGAGAATTTTTCATGCCTAAATGGATCACCTGCTCCATTTTGCCGCCAAAGACGAGGTAGCCGTACAGAGAGAAGCAGAAGAAGACGACGAAGGCGAGCAGGAAGAAGTGTAGCAGCGGGGGCATGGCGAGGGCGAGGGAGCGTGTGATGACGCCCAGATAGGGCTGAAAGTCCATCAGCTTGAGCAGCCGCACCATGAGGAAGAAGAGGCTGGAGACGAGATCAGAAGGGGGGGATAGAGAAAAAAGTTCTTAGTGTAGGCATTGGGATCAGGGCAGGACACTCTAACATTAGAACTACAAGAAAGCAGGAAAGGAAATGAGAGAAAGAAAGAATTAAAAAAAGAAGGAAAGAAAGAAAGAATGAATCAATGAAAGAAAAGAATGAAAAAAAAACAAACAAACAGAAGAGAGAAGCAGTAGCCTTATTGAAGCCAGAACAACTTGACCTGGCAGGTCAACAAGAGCAGCCAACTCACTTGACGCCCTGCAGGGCGAAGTAGAAGGAGCGCCAGTTGATGAGCGCCTGCAGGTCATCGTACTCATGCATGGCCGCCTGGAACCCCTCTCCACTCCCCGCCACCTGCCAGTACCGTGGCACCTCCAGCAGCGACTCATAAATGTCATATCGCGGGTCCATGTCATTGGCCGCCACTGCCCGCCAGAGCACGAGCCAGGTGATGAGAGCGAGCCACTGCAGGAGCAGCGAGGCCATGTCGATCCAGTTCCAGCCTGAATGGAAGTAGCTGAGAAGAGACCCCTCCCTCTTCACTCGCCCCCGCAGCTCCACCGCCTCCTCCACCCCGTTCCACAGCAGCGCCAACACGTACACCGCTTGCAGCAGCAGCAGGAACACGGACGCGAGGGACTGAGAGTACAGGGTGGTTGGTACGGGCAGCGAGGAGAAGGAGGTGACGAGCCCACCGCCCGTGTCCACCACGGCCGTGACGCGCGTGAGGACAAACGTGCTGCTCTCGCCTGGTCAGTGGTTGGGGGAAGATGTGAGTATGGAGAGGGCATGCATGAGAATGCCTGGTTAACTGCATGTCAGACAAGACCAGCAGGCGTCATGCATGTGAGGTGTGAATGCATGTGAGGTGTGAATGCATGTGAGGTGTGAATGCATGAAGTAGAAGCGGCACCTGAGTCAGGTCCAACCGTGTGTGATTGGTGACAGACACCTACTCCAGGTAGCGTTTCCCAGACATCTCAGAGGCTACCAAGGGCACGGCTCACCGTTGTGGGTGATGAAGGAGACTTCGAGCTTGCGAGTGGCATTGTCGATGTAGAGCCCGTCCACCAGGTACTGCAGGCGGTTCTCCGCCCCCCGGTGGTCCAGATTGATGTCAAACACCAGCGGGTAACCCTCCAACCCGTCCTGCGCGCGTGGGTGTGGGACAAAGTGGGCCAACCTTTAGAGACAACATGGAACATTTGGGTCGAGTAGAATGCAAGCGGTTCTCCGCCCCCCGGTGGTCCAGATTGACGTCAAACACCAGCGGGTAGCCCTCCAACCCGTCCTGTGCGCGTGGCATGGAGCGTAACACGACTTTCAGGTGCGTCAGAAGTTTTGGTCCCTTGTGTGGGTGGTGTGGGACGGAGCGAGAGGATCAGCAGGTGGGCACATGTGGAGTGGGGGGGAGCGTGCACTCATCCACACATGCACGCGTGCACACATGCACACACGCAATCCCCAAAGCAGACAATCTCAAGCAGCAGAAAGTGAAGCAGGAGCACAGAGCAAGGGCGCATGGCTGTGCCTGTTCCAGGAGCACTTGGTCTGACCAAGCAGGCTTACCACGGGGTACTCAAATCCATACGGCAGGCCTTGCGGATTCAGCACGGCATGACCACCACCAGCACCATCAGCACCGGAACTGGCACCAGCACTAGCATTGATGCTCTGGAGGAGGGTGGAGGCAGCTGCTGCAGCGGCTACAGGGTCGTAGAGGGAGGAGGTGGGCAGGAAGTGCGGGTTCACCCCGAATGGCTCCCTGGACGTGCCGTTGCTGCACCACCCCGCCAGGTGCAGCAGCCTGGGGAGAGAGGGGAGGGGTGAAAGGGAAGAGGATGAAGGAGGGGTTTGGATGGGCAGTGGGGAGGAGAATCCGAGAGAAGTTTGCACAGCACCAGAGACAGACGGCACAAGGCGCAGGCGGTACAAATGGTGCAAATCACGGATAGGATCGACAAGGCAAGGCACGATGTGAGAATGGCAGGGTGACAGAGCGACCCCTTTGGACAATCCATGGGACCAAGCTCGCAATTGGTAATGGGGGAAAGAGGAAGAACGAGATTCTGGAAGCGTTTTAAAAGCATACTTGGCTGGGTTGCATGTCTTCACGCCCCAGCGCTCCTGGTAGAGGAAAATGCCGATGAGTAGCCTGGGAAGGGAGAAGCGGGAATGAAAGAGCAAGGCACGTTACCGTATGCATTACATAATATGCTTTTCTTCAGATATTAAAGAGTAAAAAAAAAAGGTACTAGGGAAACAACAAGTGCAGATTTGGTGAACACTGACGGTGAAGGGCAACTGGTGAAGTCTCCACCCTTAATTTGAAAGAAAGAAAAAAAGAGCAAGGCGTGAGAAAGAGTTTCTGTGGCACAGCAATCAGGGACATGTACCTGTTGTGTTGGCCCACAAAGCGTGAAAGAGGCGCATTCCTCTCAGCAGCAAAGGCGCGGTTGCTCTCCGTGTAGTTGGGGCCGTAACGCTGCAGTGAGAAGGGGAAGTGCAGATCTCGCCCCACTGCAGACGACATGCAGCACGCTGCCACCAGGCGAGGAGAAGGGTTTTGGAGTGGAGGGGGAGACGTTTGGAGGAAGGGGCGTGTGGGTGTGGAGTGGAGGGTAAACAAGCACAAGAGGGAAAACTGAAGGTGTGGAGGCAGCACACAACACAGGGAACAGGGATTTAGCACACAGCCAAACAAGAAGCAACCCAATACCCTCCCTCCACCCTGAAATTTCCCACACACCTCCTCCTGGTAGCTCGCCTCCACTTCATCCCCCCCACTCTCCTCCCTCCCCTGCCCCAACCCCGCTTTTCCCTAACCCTTGTTCCTTCCACCCCCTCCCGCCATGCCCCAGGCCGCACCTCCGTCGTGGCGCCGCGCGTGGCCGGGGGGGCAGGCGCAGAAGCCAGGGCCGAGCACGGAGTCAATGCAGCCGCAGTCGCCGCCGTCAAAGGTGCAGGCGGGCGTGTTGCAGGGGGGGTTGCACACCCCGTCCGCCAGCATGTGCATGGAGCACCCCGGAGAGCACTGGAACGCCAGGTCTGAAGGGCAATGGGAAGAGGAGGGGGTGGGAAGGGGCGGGAGGGAGTGAGAGGGGGTGGGCCGCGGGCGTGTCTGATCTGACGGGCATGTAGGCGAGTAGAGGAAGTATGGGACGTGGAAAGAGTGGAGTGAGAAAGTGCGGGAGCGCAAGGCTGGTAGTGATGGTTGAGAACAACGAAACAAATACTCACAGGCACGCCTACCTGGTACCTCGGGCGGTGGCACGAGCACAGTGACCATGCCAGACATGGCGGGCGGCAGGAGACCACCCGCGGTGGAGGAAGCGGACGATGCTGCTTCGCCTGCGTCCTGCCCGCCGCTCTCATAGCGGTACGTGCCTGGGAGCGTGAAGACCTTGGTGTATGTGAAGCTGGCGTTGACGTCCCCTGGGAGCTCTGGGGGAGAAGAAAGGGGGAACAGGGGTGGGGGGGAGGGCATGAGGACTTCTGAGGCGCAAGTCGCTCTCATAGTGGTACGTGCCGGGTTGGGTGGAGTCCTTGGAGTACGTGAAGCTGGCGTTGCTGTCCCCTGGGAGCTCTGCAAGCAGCAGGACGATGGGGAGGGAGGGTTAGGGGGCGGGGGATGGGGGCTGCAGAGGAGTGAAAGCCGAGGGGTTGGGGGAAAGGAATCCTGGGCTGTGTGTGCAACGATGACACAGAAGGGACGCAGGGGGGGAGGGGGAAGACGGCGAGACATACACAGCATGCAGAAGGGGGAAGGGGGGGGAGAGGAAACAAGGGGGAACGTGTCGGGCTTCAAGCAGCACGAAGGGAAAGGGGGGAAGAGGAGGGCGGGACTCACTTAGAACACAGGGCACGGGGTCGTCGTAGTCGTCGTCCTCCCCGGCGGTCATGGGCGAGCAGGCAAAGAGGCGCGACACTGCCAAGCGGTGCCCGCCAAAGCCCGGGAAGAAGGGCGTGGGTGCGTCGCCCATTCCCGCGACTGGCGTGGGCAGAGGGAGAGCACAGGGCGAGTAGGGGTGAGAATAGGGGTGAATTGGACGAGCGACGGACGAAGCAGCAGAGGAACGGGAGAAGCGCGAGAAGCATTAAAGGCGAGCTTACTTCTGAGGGAGTGTGGGAGGTCGTCATCCCACACCCAGGTGACCTTGTCACCCACATGGATGGTCGTGTTGTGCTTCACACCCGCCCGCCACTGCAGCCACGTGCCTCCTGCATGGTGGGGAAGGTAAGAAGCATGACAGGTTGAACACGCCAAGGCAAAGGGAGGAAGAGAACGAAGGGAAGCGAAGGGACGAAGAGACAAGGAACAAGAATGGAAGGGTCACATTTGCACAGTGTGTTCTGCTTTGCACAAGCTCATGTGAAAAGGTACCACCACTGCTAATGCACAAGAAAATCATCACTGGCAGACTGAGAGCACCTGCCTTGGAAGCAATCAGAGGATTCTTTCAATTCAAGCTCTCAAGAATTTCTCACATGCTAACTTCTCACCTTGGGAGCAGCCAGCAATGTCGGTGCTGACGATGGCATCTTCAAAGCGGTGGAAGAAGGAGGAGAGGTCGACAGCGGCTTGGGGGGGCATGGAGGTGACGGACTGCAGGGCGGCGATGAGAATGTCTATGAAGCGCCTCAGCTGCTGTGATGACACTGCCTTGTTGTTGCTGCCACAGCGGCGCCACAGGGGAGGGGAGAGACGGCGGCAGGGGAGGAGGGTGGGTGGGAGGGGGCAGAGATGGCAGGAGGGTAAGAAGGGGATGGTAGAGACAGCAGGGGGAGGTAGTGACAGCAGGAGAGGGAAGAGGCAGGCGGGGAACGGGGAATGAAGCATTGCAGGGGAAGGAGGACAGGGGTACACGGTACAGTAACAGCCCTTGACAGTGATGGAAACGTGGAACCACCGTGGAGACGAGTCAAGCAGCACTCACACGCCACGGTGCACGTATTTCAGGTGGCCAACCCCGCAGCACTTACATGCCGCGGTGCATGTATTTCAGGTGGCCAACCCCGCAGCACTTACATGCCGCGGTGCACGTATTTCAGGTGGTAAACCCCGCAGCGCTTACATGCCGCGGTGCACGTATTTCAGGTGGCCAACCCCGCAGCACTTACATGCCGCGGTGCACGTATTTCAGGTGGCCAACCCCGCAGCACTTACATGCCGCGGTGCACGTATTTCAGGTGGTCAAACAGCTCCTGGGCGCGCAGCAGCTGGTGCCCCCTCAAATCCGCAAACCGGCACAGCGGCTGGTCCAGCACAGGCCCGCCCAGCAGCGTGCAGAGGAAGGCGGTGAGGCGCAGGCGGTAGCGCACGGAGAGGCCGAGCATGTAGGGGCCGGCGAGGCAGCTGTCCTTGACCATGGTGTAGATGGCTCGGGATACCGCCACCTGCAGCGCTCTCAGGCGCTGCTTCTCTGTGGACCCCAGCAGCTCCCACGCCCTTGGCGCCTCTGATAGATGTGGCAGCTCTGCATGCAGGGGGGCAGCAAGAAAGAGGAGAGGGGGGAAGGAAGACGGTGAGCATGGAACTCTAAGAAGGAGGTGTAAGGATGGGGAGAAAGTGAGGGGAGAAGGAGAAAAAAGGGGGTTAATTGTAAAATAGAGGAAGAGGGAGGGGAAGAGGGGTGTTGGGACTGACATGTCAACACAACGGGAGAAAGCTGATATGCTGTGAGTTATCATGGGCAAAGGGTGAAACTTTGATGTTTTCAATCTAAACATCATCACTCACGCATGTCAGCAGCCGGAGGGAGCACGGGTGGGGGAAAGAAGCTGGAATCGGCAATGGCAGCACTAGTGTCATTGCCACTGGCGTTGGTGCCTGCCACTGCTGCATTGCTAGTGCTTCTGCTGCTCCAATTTCCTCCACTCGCCCCCACGGCATTCGCTGCTGCCGCAGCCCTATCCGCCACCACCCTGCTCGGCAGCACACCCTCAAACTCCCCCGCAGCAGCTGCAGAACTCGCAGCAGATGCAGCAGCCATTCCCTGCCCAGACAATGCTGGTGTGACTGTCTCCTGCGTTTGCCGGCGATCCCTTGCTGCAACGCAAAGAGCAGGAATGATTGAGGAGCACGGGGGGCGAAGAGGACAGGGACGAGCGAGAGCAGTGCAGACCAGGAAAGCAGGTCACATGTCGTTGCGGCCTGTAAGCTTGGAAGCTTACTTCCAAGGAGCACATTGCTTCATTGACTTCAAGAAGCAAGAAACGAATATGGAAAAGAATAACGTGTTGGGAGGTAGTACGTACCAGTGCAGAGAGAATTGGGGAAAAGGGACGGTTTGACAGCGACGATCTGCAGGAGGGGGAGAAGAAGCGGAATGGGTTGTCAGTGTTGCAACATATTACTGTACTGTCAGGGTATGGCACTGACCTCAAGGCACAGCATACTGATGCAATCACCTGAAGGCACGGCACAGCATAATAATGTACTCACCTGAAGACACGACATGGTGGCGTATGGCAGGATGGTGGACGGCGAGGCTCGGCAGATCTTGACGCAATCCACAAACGCGCCCGCCACCTCCCTTGCTGCCACCTCCCGCCCACAAGCAGCGTTCAGACACACTGCCACGGACTCACAGGCCTGGGAGGGGCAAGGGGTCAGAATAAAAGACATGTGGATTGAATCGGTTGGGCACACCATGCACAACACAAGCGTACATGGGAGCAGTTGCACGGGTGCATGCATGCGCACGCACACACACACACACAGCACAGCACACAGCCACGGCCACATACCTGCCGGCACACATCGCCTCCGTCTTGAAGCAGCGTGGCATTCAAATCTCTCGCGGACAATCCCTCCCCTCCCAAGCACCCGCCCCAGCTAGCCAGCGTAACGCTGTTACTCGACCCCATCGTCACGTCCCCACTCAGATGCCCCATCCCCGGCTTCTGCGCCTGCAGCACGCCTTGCACGCCCCCCATGGGCGCGGTGATGAGCAGCGCCCATTGGCCGTCGGGAATGTCGAGGGCGAGGGAGAACTGGGCGTGCAGCGCGGGGAAGGGCTGGGGGAGGGCGTGCCAGCAGAGCGAGATGGGGCTGTGCATGCACAGGTTCCATGAGGACAACGCCAGGGCCTCATTTGATGAAAATGACGTCGTGAAATGGATTGAGACGGAGGTGAGGTTGGGGAACGTGCCGCAGTCCGCCTCACAGCCGAAGCGGCCGAATGCGGGGAACTCTAGTGGCTGGTCGCAGAGGCCATCCCCGCAGGGCGGGTCCTGCCAGAAGTGCTCGATGATGCTGCCGTTCAGCCACGCGTAGAAGCCCGCGGCTCCTGCAAACCGATTGGACGAATCCGGTGCAAAGTTCTGGATGGAAGGCGGGAAAGTGGGGTGGGTGTATGGTGTCGTGAGTGTGGACCCTTGGGTCATCACAGTGGTGTATGTGGGAAACAAGAGGCGATCGGAGCAGTGGAAACGAGAAGGGTCATTCTAAGGTGCCACGGGAACGAGAGGGCAAGTAACAGATGTGGTGGGAGAGCGAGGGGGCTCACGGAGGGGATGAGGACGGAGTGGGCGGAGGTGACTTGGAAGGTGCGGGAGGAGTCGGCCTGCAGATAAACCATTGCCACGAACAGCGCCATCAGCAGCACGAACCCGCCCAAAGCGCGGTAGTGCTGCACCTGTGAGCGCAGCAGGCTGACCCGATTGAACACCTCTGCACGCCCCCCAGAAGCAACAGACATGGCCAACAAAACCACCAGAGGGAGGAGGAAGAAGGAGGATGTTGTTGAATAACGGGCACTAGGCACCTCGTAAAGCGCTCGAGCACGCACTGTTAACACACGAGCCGAATACACGTCAAACTCGCAGGGATCAGGAGGTGCAACCAGCAGCACCCACCTTGCACGACCTCCTTATCGATCTCCTCCAGCTCGTTCGCTAGTATCAAATCCTCGTCGTCGCCGTCCTCTCGTATCGAATCCATGTGCGGCAGCGAGCGCGTCGCAGGCTCGACCTCCCCACCGCCTCTCCCGGCGCCGCACGCCGCATCCTCGCATCCCCTCTCCTTACCATCGCTGTCCTCACCGCTGTCGCCCCCATCTCCTTCATTCCTACTGGTTTCTCTCGACTCGCCCCAGAGCCAACCTTTTCCCAAGTACTGGAAGGTGGAGTCGAGGCCATTCCAGGCGTTACCGCTTTTTTGTCGCCAAAATGCTCCCCCATAGCACTCCTGTGTCTTGCCGTTCCTATTATCTCGGCCTGCCTCCTCGCCGATTCTGCCACCATTCCCCACACGTCCCTCTCCCCCGCTGCTAATCTCGATCTGTTTATTGCCGTCGCCTTCCCCCTGAAGACCTCCTGCTTGTCTCGAAGGGTATGCTTGCCTCTGCTCCGCCAGGTGGTTTTCCGTGTAGCTCCCAAACCCACGTTTTGAATCTTCTTCCGCATCCGTTTCCTCCCCACCGTGATCGTGCGACGAGTTGGATACAGCATGAGGATAAAGCGGCGATTGGCCGAGAGGACTTCGTGACGATATTTTCGCGCCGTTTGCGTCTGGAGAAGCGCTGGCGACAAGGGTGAAGGCAGGAAATGAGGAGGGAAAGTAGAAACGATAAAGGTTACGAATAAAATGGTAAACACTTTTGAGAACTTCTAAAAACGTCAACAGACGGAACCTTTGGTCTTGATTGACATTCAGCGGACAACTTCAATGTCAATGCAGGCGGAAACAGAAACATTCACGGTTCTTAAACAGAAGTCCATAAAACTCCAGTGTCGAACCGCGATGTGAGGATATTTGACAAGCCTGTGTGATGCCAAATTATACTTATCTATAGAACTAACCCGGAACTATCAGCGAAGGACGAGGAGCGAGCCCACATCTGACGGTTCGCCCTCTCATACGCGCCGAACTTGTCCTCCAGCAGGCTGTGCGAGCGAGTCAGCGACGTCTGCTCCTCCGCTTCTTTCTTCCGCATCCGCGCAATGACTACCGCTTCCGCCATCGATGGAAACGGATATGAGCGACTGTATTTGCGGAAAACAGACGCTCAAGCGAAATGGTAACAGTAGCTCGCGATGATATGAATCCTAAGCGAAGCCGCGCAATGCGCAAACACGACTCATCGATCCCTTTCAGAGTGGCTGGATCTGGTATACATCGGAACAGCTGGAGGTTTCGCGAGCCTAGATGACTAGTAAACGCTTCCGACCAACAATGGTTTGGTAGAGTTCTCGACTGGAAAGAATGCAACATGTGAAAACCCTCGCCAATGATAGAGCTACGGAACAAGAGTTGGGAGACATGGCTGTTCTGTTCATGCGCCTAACTGTCATGCCTGACAACCTTAGCATGGCTGACATAGAGGCGCGTGTTGCGTCGTCAGTGAGCGCTGTTCACCTGCAAGCTACAGAGATTCGATGTGAGAGGGTCAGTGAAATGAGGTGGAACAGAACTGAGGTTTCTTGTTCTGCCTTCCCTCCCTTCCCTAGCCGCTTCAAACTGGATAATCCCGAGGGCGGAACAGCTCTCTCCACAGTCAATATGTTGGATTGGATTCCACTGTGCGACGTCGGGACTCGCGCGAGATGAGCGAACGGGAAAAAGGCAATCGCTTGTGGATCCTTCACATGTACAGTATGCGATGGTTGCGAAAGATAGGCGTCCCTCATTGATATCGTCGGCGCACAATGATAGCGACCAGCAGTACCGAACGGCCAGATATGCTGACGTGGAAGACACTAGACGGAGCGTTCGCTTGACGACAAGCCACCGTTTGCGCTTGCACCTCTATATAAAGCACACAGTACCAGTAGACTGTACCAATTGTTATCCTAACCGGGAATTATGAAAACGCATTGCTGGCTTAGCTTTTGTTAGTTCAACCATCCAGATAGAGGCAACAATGCTGTCATGTACTTCCTCAAGCATCTCAACAGATGCATCCTACAAGTCAGAACAAACTCAATACGGTCGATAGCCAACATACCCTCCTGCAGGCCCAAAGTCTCGCCTCACCGGCCCTACCCCGCCTCCACCAGCACCACCTGGACCCCCACCACCCATGCCAGGACCAGCAGCAGCACCAGCAGCTCCAGGATTTGGAGCAAGCACACCAGGACCACTGCCTTGCCCGCTCATCCCCCCAGGCCCACCCATTGCTCCCGGCCCAGGCATCCCCCCTGGAACACCCATCCCTCCAGGCCCACCCATGTTCCCAGGCCCGCCCATTCCCCCAGGCCCGGCCAAGCCAGGGTTGACGGGCGGCGGGAAGCGGATAATGGGTCGCTGCGGGTCGAAGCGACCATCCACAGGGGGCTGGCCGGGCGGCGGCATGCGCTGCTGCTGGGGGAACCCTCCTTGCTGCTGTTGCTGCTGCTGCTGCTGCTGCTGCTGAGGATACTGCTGCTGCTGAGGCGGCGGCTGATGCTGCTGCTGTTGCAAGTACTGCTGCTGGGGCGGGTAGAACTGAGGCTGCTGCTGCTGCTGCGGGTACTGCTGCTGTTGCTGCTGCGGTTGCTGCTGCTGCTGCTGTTGAAGGAACTGTGGCTGGTACTGCTGGGGCTGGGGCTGTCCTTGCAGTTGCGGCTGCATCTGAGACTGCGGGTTGAGGTTGTAGGCAGCAACGGGATACTGCCCCGGCACACCGCCCATCCCTGCACCCGCACCAACACCTGCATTACCAGCAGCAGCAGCAGCGCCGGCAGCAGCAGCAGCAGCAGCAGCAGCAGGAGCAGGAGCAGGGGAAGCAGAAGCACTACCACCAGCGGCAGCAGTGGCGAGAGGAGCCGGGCTGGCTTGGACTGGTTTGGGCTGTGCAGCGGAGGCAGGGGCGGTGTATCGCTCTACTCTCAACCGCCGGTTGCCCAGTTGATGCTCGTTCAACGCTGACGTGGCAATGTCCGCTGATGTGGGCGAGTCCAGGTGGACATAGCCTGGTTGGAAGACAGCGAGGGTGGGGTAGCATAAAAGATAGCTTGTATTCTTTCGATCCACACGTGCCTAATCACCATAAACTGGAAATGGGTGTCTTTCCAAAAAAGCTCCTGTTTCCAAAAAAGCTCCTGCATCAGCCTGCCATGCCCCTTGTCCCCTTGTCGCCCAAATAAGGCACCACTCACCGTAGCCCAGCCCTCTGTTGCCATCTCTCGCCACCTGCACGGCCACCACGGTGCCGTACGTGCGGAACAGCTCCCATGCTATCCCCCACTTTCCACTCCCCACTCTCCTCCCCCCACCAACTGCCACTCAGAAGCCACTCACCATAGCCCAGACCCCGGTTGCCCTCGCGCGCCACTTGCACGGCCACCACGGTGCCATAGGTGCAGAACAGCTCCACCAGCTGGCCGTGCCCCAGGCCCCCCCGCTCCCCAGGCCCTAAGACGACTCACCGTAGCCCAGCCCTCTGGTGCCCTCGCGAGCCACCTGCACGGCCACCACGGTGCCGTACGTGCGGAACAGCTCCACCAGCTGGCGCTCGCTGTAGTCCTCCGGTAGCCCATACACCGCCAGGGGCGTCACTGCCACAAACACAGGCGGGGGTTGGGGAGGGGTGGGGGGAGGGGGGGGAGCAAGGGGCGGGCAAGGCTATGTTGGAATATTAGCTCAGACCCTATAAAGAGTATAGCGTTTATACGCTTGCGTATATACCCAAAACGCTATACGCTATACGCACTCAGTTTCACCCATCAGTTTCCCCCATCAGTTTCAGTTTCACCCATCCCATCAGTTCCCCCCATCAGTTTCCCCTATCGGTTTCCCCCATCAATTTCCCCCATCAGTTTCAGTTTCGCCCATCAATTTCCCCCATCAGTTTCCCTCCCCCATCAGTTTCAGTTTCCCCATCAGTTTCCCCCATCAGTTCCCCCCATCAGTTTCTCCCATCAGTTTCCCCCATCAGTTTCCCCCATCAGTTTCCCCCATCAGACTCCCCCATCAGTTTCCCCCATCAGTTTCCCACATCAAATTCCCCCATCAGTTTCCCCCATCAGTTTCCCCCATCTATGTTGGAATATACGCTCAGACCCTAAAGCGTATAGCGTTTATACGCTTGCGTATATACCCAAAACGCTATACACACTCAGATTTTTTTTGGGGCTGCCCAAGAAAAAAATCCTGAGTATATGAAAAGATGCGGATTCTCCTGGTGAGAATTTCGCCGAAGTCGAATTGCAATCTGGCGGTCCAGGGAAGCGGGAATGTGCCTTTGAAGTTTCCTGATCGGTCCAATTTGAACTTTCGATTTGCACCGCATTGAAACTCATCCTATCTACAAACTCCAACCTGTCAAAAATGTTCCCCCAACCACCTCACACTCACGCTACTTACCTGCCAGCCAGCCCAACTCCACTCGTCATTTCTAGTTTACATTCCCGCCCAACAGAGTTCCTTCCGATACCTACTTCTCTTTCTAGCGATCTACTCCACCTCCCACCCCACCCACCGTGTAAAATGCTAATGAAGTATTGGTGAGAATAGGGTAGGGAGTTCTTACCTTCCCGGATGTTGAGCACAACTTTTTTTTCACCCTGCCCGGGAAAGTTTTTCCCTTGCCCGAAAAAGCGTATGCCCAATCTGACCCTTAAGCGTATGGCGTATACACGCCAGCGTATAAATGAAACGCACATATACGCTAAACGCGCATATTCCAACATAGGGGCAAGGGAAGTGCGCAGGGGAGGGGTGACACTTGAGTTGACTCAAGAGCTCCACCAGCTGGCACTTGCAGCAGGGAACAGAGGAGAGGGGAGGAAGCAGGCAAAAAATTGACGAGTGGGCGAGTGTCTCACCCACAGCTGCTCTGGCGGCCACAGCAGACCTCCCTGCTTCACAGCCCCAACTCACCTCCACTGCTTTCCTGCTGCTGTTGTTGCTGCTGCTGCTGCTTGTCCACAACATCCTGCTGCTTCTCCCCTGCAGCATCAGCAACACCCGCAACACTCCCATTCGCAGCAGAACCACCAGCACCAGGAGCACCAGCAGCGCCACCAGCAGCGGTGGCAGCAGCGGCTGCTTTCTCTGCATCAGCCTTCTTAGCCTCAGCCTGGGCGAGCTCTGGGGGTTTCTCCCACACAGACGTGTTGGTGGCCGCGTGGTAGTAAAACGGCCGCCCGTCCGGGGCTGCATGCTCTGTCCACCCACACTCCGCCACCGGGTCGTCCCCACCCGCACCCGCATCAGCTGCAGCAGCCCCATCTGCAGCTGCGCCCGCAGCAGCTGCAGTACCGTCAGTGGCAGAACCACCTGGTGCTGATCCTCCTCCGCCTGCTGCTGCTCCTGCTGCTGCGACAGCAGCTGCCCCGTCTGCCCCCTGCTGCGCTGCTGCCGCCTTTGCAGGCCCGCCCGCAATGCCGTTCTGCTGCCCTGCGTGTCCCAGCTGCTGCATCCCAAGCTGCTGCCCTGCCTGCTGCTGCGGCTGCTGCACTCCCTGCTGCTGCTGTTGCAGCGCTACCTGCTGCGCCCACGGGGGCTGCTGCGTGGCTGCGCTCCCCATGAACGGTTGCTGCCCACCATACATTGCTGCAAAGAGAACGAATGTTGGTGAGAAAAGAAGGGTTAGTATGAACGCTAGTGTAAAGGAGTTTGTTTGTCAGTGAGAGATCAGTGTCACGTTGATACGAGGAGAGAGAGGCAGTAGCATCAGGAAAGTTCCACGGTTAGTGCAGGGCCTTCGGGAGAAAGGGTACAATTGAGTGCTGGTGTTGGCGCACTGAGTGATTCAAATGGCGACACTGGTGGCTTTTGAGTCGCCTCAAAAGTCAAAAGTTTCCACGGCTAGTGCAGGGCCTTGGGGAGAGAAGGTACAATTGAGTGTTGGTGTTGGCACACTGGGTGATTCAAATTGTACCAGTGATTCAACACTGGTGGCTAGCGAAAACACGGCAAATCAAAGTCCGCTGCGTGCCGTGTGGAGAGGGTGGGATGAGGCCTATTTGCGATCAGATCTCATCCGTACATCCCTGGAAAAGGCAAGAGCACAGTTAAGAAACAAACACTCACCGTGCTGCTGCTGGTGCTGTTGTTGCTGCTGCCCCACCACACCCCGCAGCCTGTCCACCTCTCGTGCAGTAGCCTCGAGGGTCCTCTCCGCCTTCTCACGCTGCTCTACCGCCTCCATAGCCGCCCGCCTCTCTCTCTCCGCCGCGTCCCTGCTCGCCCATCCAACAACACCAGCAACAACAACACGGACAGTTGTAGTTGCAGCACCACACGCAGTGGAAGAGTGAGTAGGAACGTGTTGGTAATGGAGGGTGTGAGGAGGTGGGTGGGCGGTGAACGGACAGTGTGAGGAGGTGGGTGGGCGGTGAACGGACAGTGTGAGGAGGTGGGTGGGTGGTGAACGAACAGTGTGAGGAGGTGGGTGGGTGGTGAACGGACAGTGTGAGGAGGTGGGTGGGTGGTGAACGAACAGTGTGAGGAGGTGGGTGGGTGGTGAACGAACAGTGTGAGGAGGTGGGTGGGTGGTGAACGGACAGTGTGAGGAGGTGGGTGGGTGGTGAACGGACAGTGTGAGGAGGCGTGTGGGGAATTGGGGGGGCGTGTTGCAGACCAAAGGAGTCACACATGCCAATGCCAGTGCACGCATGTTCCTGAACCAAAGCTTAGCGGTTGAACACACCCTAACCCATGGGGAATGGGGGGGCGTGCACGCATCCAAACCTCACCGGACTCTGCTCGCTTCCACACCCTGCAGCGCACCCCACTTTCCGCCCTCCCCTTGTGCCCCCAACCTTCCCCGCCCCCATCCCCCATCCCCCGAGTTCTCCCTCCCCCAAGAAACTGCTCGAGCGCACATCAGACGTGTGTGGAAAACTCTTGACCGCATTGGCTAACCATGTTCCGCGTTGCCTCCGCGTTCTCACCAGCTTCAGGTAACCTGCTCTTGCTCCCCAGCTAAACCCGTGGTAAGACCATTGGGAAGATTGGGAAAACCCTCCAACCATGGCCTCTAGACCGCATACGCGTTCCTTTCCCCCATTCCCCCCCCCCCCATTCCCCCCCCATCCCATATCCCCTTCCCCATCCCCCTTCCCCATCTCCTCCCCTCTCACCGCTCCCCTTCCCCCTCACACCCCGCGCACCTGGCCTGCATCAGTTCCTGCCGCATGCCCTCCAGGTCGCTCCGCATGCGCTGCATGTCGCCGCCCATCGCGCTCATCTGCCGCTGCATCTCCGCGCGCCCCGCCTCCGCCTCCCCCCCCCGCGCCTGCAGCGCCTGCAGCTCCATGCGCGCACGATGCAGCTCCCCGCGCAGAGGCTCTGCGCGGACCACCGCGGGAAACCAGAAAATATTATTTTTTACCAACCAAAAGCAGGGCTTTAACAGCGGAGAAACTCGTAGAATAATTTCAGGGGTTACGGGGTTGGCAACAATCAAACATGGGGAGAAACAATACGGATTAAACACTTAAAACCCCTAAACGCGCGTCTCAATGTCTTTTTTCTCTTAGGTCTGCTCACCGACAGCTCTTAGGTCTGCCTCGAGCTTGGCCTTATGCTCCATGATTCCCCGCACCGCCTGATCCTTCTCCATCTGCACCGCCGCGAGCGTCGCTTTCGTCCGTTGGATCTCACCCTGCGCCGCCGCCAGCTCCTGACGAAGTGCCACGTGCGTCGCCGCCAGCCGTTGATTCTCCGTCAGAAGCTGTTGAATTTCCCCGTGCTGCGCCGCGAATTTCGCCTCGATGCTCCCCGCGCCCACGGGGAGCAACATCGTCGGGGGAGGCGGTTGGGGGTGGCGGATAAGCACCTGCCCCTGAGGCCCGCCGGGGATAAGCGCAGGCCCAGGGGGGAGTGGCGGGCGGATGAGATGCGACGGGGGAGCTGGCGGGGTTCCCCTTCCCCCGACGACAGCCATTTGTCTTCCTCGACCAGCCATGAAACGATAATTGCGGAGTTAAGAAATATGAAGTACCTACTGACAATGCGCGAACTCTCCTGAAACTAGGAACACTAAACGCGTAGGGCACCCATGTGTTCGAAGGAGCAAACGCTACGTCAAAATAGGTGTCTAATTGCTCCCCTAAGATCCACGGAAATAATCGTGATAACGAAAATGGGCACGCAATGGAAACCTAGCCTGTTCAAAATTGAACCGTTGCAGGCGGCGAGGGGAAGGACGTGCCATGCGATCATCTTGTTAGAAATATCCACTATTAGCAGAGAGAAAGCTGTAGCAGCACAAGATATTCCAGATTAAGGTTGGAGCTGTATAGACATCATAGTGTTTTATTTTAATGAAAAGGCCCAATATAGTCCAACAATAATGAAGACTCACTACATGGCATCGGCCTATATTTATATATTTATCTAGCTCAAATATATTCTTCCATGTAATTGTCATCCAAATCCTCGGTCTCTTCGTCGCTAGTCTCCTCGATTGTGATGGAGTACCATTTCTTAGACTTGTTCGGCACTGCAGCCTTAACCGGGTAATCTTTCTTCGCTTTCTCTCTCTTATTAGCCACCGCCCACTCCGCCTCTTCTCCACTAGAAGCACTTGTAACCACGGAATTTGCCTTGCCCTCCACCACTTCTTCCTCCGCTTGCTTTTCTAAGGCAGCTGTTTTGCCTGATCGTGGGTTTCGAGGCCGTTTGAATCTTGGAAGCAGATCCAACATCCGTGCCACCTCATGCAACCCTCCCCACTTCTCAAAAGTCCTCGCCAAGTCTCCCCTACCTGGGAACACAACCAAGACAAGAATGTAAAAGAGGCGGTTTAATAGAGTGTGCGTAACGAAGAAAAGCTTCATGATGGCATGGCATCACATCACACTCTACAAGAGATACTGACCGTGCTTCTGTAGGAGCATGCGTGACGGCATCTTGTTGTGCGGCAGGTTATGATCCATCTGAAACTGAAGCACCTGTTGTGAAAAACGCGGTGAGAGTGAGGAGAGAATGAAAGAAAGTCAATTGTGAACCCAACGCAGGGGACTTGAATATTTACCACCCCAACCAAGTGCTTAACGCATCGTTTGCAAGCGACGCAATCACAAATAAAACTGTAACCCGCATTCTCACCTCTTGTTTCAGATTCGCCAGGTCATCCCAGTACCCTCTCGGTTTCCTTGCCACTTGCATGTTGAGCTTTTGCGCCACTGCATGCACTCCCCCTGCAAACTGAATCTCTTTCTCAATATCCGATCTCCGGGCTGCCCGCAAAATCCCCCGTGTCGGCATTGTGCCTGGTTCCAACCCCTGCTCCTCACAGAACCCTTCCAGCTTCTCTTTCAACCTGCCCAGGTCAACAACTTTAACCTTCGCTCCCTTCTCCCTCTTCTTCCTCCCACCTCCCTCCCCATCCCCCCCCTCTTCTCTCTGCCTCTCACCCACACTCTCCAGACCCATCAATCCGGTGCTTTCTCCCATCATCTCCCCTCCACCGTCCCACTGCCCCCCACTGAGCTCGTCGGCCCACAGAAGGTCCAGTGGTTGCTGTACAGAAGCCAGCCCCACAGCATACGGCAACCCTGCCTGCTGCTGCTCCGCAAACGCAAGCCCTGACAAGTCAGCCTCATGGCCGCGAATCTGGCCCTGCACTTGAGCTTCCAGTGCCCTCTCACGCTCACGCTCACGATCCGCCCCTGCCCTCCAATTCTCCGTGTCCCCCCATTCCTCCCTCCCATTCAACTCCTTGTCACCGCCCCACTTCTCTTTCTCTCCCCAAGCGTCTCTAACCCGCCACTCTTCTGCAGCGCCCCAGTCCTCTGCATCACTCCAATCATCTCGTCCTGCATCGGACCATGTCCGAGCCTCATCATCGGTCCACATATCATCCATCCCTCCGCCTTCCCCCATGCGCATCAGCTCCAGCACCTCCTCTCCCTGCAACCCCCCATCACCCGCCAATAACGCTCCACCTAACCCATTGCTGCTCCTACTGCCGCTGCTGCTGCCGCCGCTGCTGCTGCTGGCACCGCTGCTGCGGCTGCCACCCACGGGGAACTCAAACCCAACTGGCCCGTGGAGGTCCTCCCACTCCTCCATTCCACCAACGCTCAAGTCCCGGTCTGCATCGCTCACTTCGGATACCGAACCTGGCCTTAACGAGGCTCTGGATTCCGTCCTTGCTCTCCTCTCACCGCCGCCGCCGCTGCCACTGCTGCTGTTGCTGCTGCTGCCAGCGCCACTGCTGACCCGATCCCCTGTCCCTGTCACGCCATCTCGCGGCGTGCTCTCCTCCCCAATAGGCCTTTTCCATTTGAAGCTCCGTCTTCGCCGAAAATACTTCCTGTCTTTGCTTATCGGAACCTGCGACTTTTTCACCTGGTTCTCCAGGTCCCGCTCTGCCTTCTCCTTCCCATTCCCCTTCTCACGCGGCCTCTCGGCACTCTTTCTGCTGCGCTGCCTCTCCTCTTGATTTCCGGTCCGAAGCGATACATATTTCTGCGAGAGCTTATCGGGACCCGCGTCTAGCGACTCATCCAGTCCCCCGGGTTCGCGCGGCTGTCTGTGCGATGCAGCGCGAACGGACGAAAAAATAACGATGGCGGTGCTGCAGGGAGGTAGACATGGTGCGGGTGGGCTGTTAGAAGCTGAGGAAATGGAGATCCGTAATGCGGACGTGGATTTGAGAATTAGCAACGAGGCGATCGAAGGTAGGAAAGAGTTACTTGCCGCCATGTCAAGTCTTATGCGGCGTGAAAGAAATGTAGCTGTGGAATGGATGAAGGGTGAATTTTGAGACTTCGTTATGCGCTCAAGAACTGAAAAAAAAAATATCACCACCATATAAGGCATGTAGGCAATACTACCATACATGCAACTTTTGAGAAACAAAACCAAAACCTAACCATTTCCCTCAGTAGATCTCTAAGTTCCACAGGTTGATCAAGCATGACATTATGTCTCGATTAAATACAATCACTGATTGTTATTTGGCACACCACACATCTAACTACCCTACACAAAATTTAACACTCCACACACTGTAGAGTTGAGCCCACACAAGGAAAACGAAAACAGAAATAGCGGGCCGAGTTTCGTTCGCATCTGCGATTTTGCACATTTGCAAAAAGAATGGCGTGCACCGTCATCCTGCGAATGCCTTCCAAGTCAGGATCCAGTCGCAAGGGGCGCATGACAGCTGTGGAGTTCAAACAAGGCTGGCGTGATGGCAAACGTCATCGACGTCCGCGCGGCAAACCGCCTCAAAAATTGGCACACTCGTGCTTCAGAGCAGAGAAAGCAAGACAGCATCTTCCATTCGCCACAGTAGCACAGCACGCCTTGATGGTGGGAGAAACCAGCAAGATGGGTCATTTCCAAAAAGCAGAAATCAGCGCAACAGCCAGGATGGAGCAGGCTACACTTGGGAGAGCACTTCCGTTCGTTTCACAAAGCGCCCCTGCAACCAAAGGAAAAAGAAATGGAACCTGTCAGCATGACAAATACTGCAAGAGTTGCCAACAACATTATGGAGCAGTACTGGCCTGGAAAAATGCCATGCATGAAGGACGAAAGCACTGTACCTTCACACGGGGCCGCTGGTCGGCGTTGACCTTGCGCACTTCATATCGAATCTTCTTGGAGTAGAGCCGGTTCCTGCGCTTCTCGCGGTAACGCATCACACGGGCCTCCCTGCCCTCGTTGGAGAAAAGCTCAAATGTGTCACTGTCCATCGCAGGCTGCTGCTCATGCTGCTGCTCGCCCCATTGCTCACCCGGACTGGCCACGTCGGTGTCTTGAGCGCAGCCGGGTAATGAAGGAGAGGCTGTGGCGAGACCAGGGAGGTTGGCAAGCTGCACAGCAACAGGAATCAGAGAGAAATGGGGAAACGATTGTGAGAAGCGCGATTTGGTTGGGGGGTTGTTTCTGGCTCGTGGATGAAATATGACGAAGTGGCTGTTATCTGCATGGCACACAAAATGCCATCGGTGCATACTACTTGTATAAGCCACTTAGACTTCGCCTGTCCTAAGTGCCCAGGCTAAGACTTGCTATTCGGGTTCTCCTCTACGCCTTGGCTTGCTAGTCCCACCAACTCTGTAACCCCGTGTTCAATTCGCATCTTTGGTTCCTCGTTACGCTACAAGTGCATCCCTCTCTTGTGCTATTGGCGCACAAGGCTTTGAATGTTCACTTCAGCACTCAGATTTGACCACGCCAATGAGAGGTGGGGTGAGTGGCAAGGCGACGTTTCCAAATAGGGAGTGAGAAGAAACAGTAACAGGGGGGAGCAGCGCACAACAAGGGAAGTAACATGTGTCTCACCAGTGGGCGATTAAGACCGTCGCGCTTCTCCGCACTGGCGCCCTCCTCCTCTTCCTGCTCAATCCACGGCGACTGGCCTTCAGGCGCCTGGTCGGACCACGCGCTGATCACGTCCTCATAGTTCAGACGCAGGCTCGGTGACTGCTGCTGCAGCTCCTTGCGACTACCCAGCTTCACCGCCATCCCTCCCTCTGCATCCACGCCTTCCGCTGCGGGACCACCACTGTTGCTACCGAACACGTCCTCCGCGCGGGGCCGCTTCCCGAGCTGCGCCTTAGGGGGGTTTAGCGCGGCCGCGCTCTCGCTGGTTGCGCCACTGGCGTCCCCCGCGGTGGGGGAGCCTTCAAGAGGCTCCACATCGACCTCACTCTCCGCCTCTGCAGATTCGTCCAAGCCCCACCCTCCCACGAACCACCCTTCCGTCTCGCCCTCCTCCTCCCCGTAACTGATGATAAACTCCTCTAATCCCTGCGTCTCCAGCTTCACCTCCCCCTCCCCCTCTATCTCCGCGTCTCTTCCGCTCGCACTCTCCCCCGCGCCGCTCGCGCGCGCCGCGCCTGCGCCACAGCCGCTGCTGGAGCTCGCGCGGCTGAACGACGGCGCAACTATCGCGTCGGCGCTAATCTTCGTGCCGAGGCTGACAGGGTTTGTAGCCGTTAACCCCCGCGCAGGCTGCTGCGTCTGCGACTGCTGCGCGCAGTGGTCATGTGGAATCTGAGGAGCGTCTGGAACTTCTCTTCCCGTGCGCCCGTCCACTACTGGCGTGCATTCATTAGCTTCATCTACAAAGAACCGGTCCACATCATCGAACGACAGGATATCCAAGAAAGCATCGTCCGCCGTCCCTTCCGCCGGCCTTCCGCCGACTCCCCCCTCCGCTTCCTGCTTCACTTTGCGCTCCGTGCTCCCAGCGACAGCCGCTGCGCCTATCGGCGGAATATGTGCGCCGCTCCGCTTTTGCTTCTTCGAAGGCCGCGGGCCTCGCATGCCCTCCGCCAAGTGCGGGTGATGGGGAACGGCGGCGTAGTCCCCCGGATGCCCCATGTACTCGCTAGGAGCAGCTCCCAGATAAGGCATTCCCATATGCGGTCCGTACATGGGTCCCCAGGGCCCCGGAGGGTAGACGACGCCGGGGAGCGGAGGCGGCGCAACCCAGGGGTGGGGGTAAGGGGCCATGTGCGGCGGGGGGATGTAGGGAGGGATCATGCCGGGGCCGTAGGGGGGCGTAGGCCGTACCCCTTGCGCGGAGCAATCGTCGGGCCGCCAGTAGCAGTGCGGGGGAGGAGGGACAGCGGAAACACCCCGCGGAGAAGCTCGAGAAGTATCCGAAGCCCCGCAAGCCGCAGCGGAAGCGGAGGCTCCTCTTGGCGCTGCGTTAGACGTGGGGCCGCTTCGCTGACCGTTGCCAGTTCGTCCTCCTTGTGATGGCGGGACGATCGGCGCGCAGTGCGAAGAGAATGCTGGCTCCCAGGAGTGAACTTGAGGCTCCGGCTTTGCGATAGCACCAGTTTTTGCTCTGGCAGTCCCGATACTTTGCTGTTGTCGCTTTCTACTTTCACCAGGTGCTACTGTTCCTCCTTGAACGAGCAATTCCTCCTTGATGGGTGATCGGGCTTTCGAGGATTTTAGACCCGCGACGTTGGTAACAGTGGACGACGCTGTTGCGTCGGTTGTTGGAGAGTTTCGCATCGTCGCAACGATGCCTGATCCCCGAACCATCGCAGGCAACTCGGAGTTTCCGTTGCCGTTACCATTACCACCGGCGCGACGGAAAATCTTAACTGGAGCTCCGTTAGGGCCCAACCTGACACGCTCGTGCCGCTGAGAAAGAGGATTGGCTCCATGAACGAAACCGTCGCACACGTCGCAGATGTACGCGTCGTCAGCTGCGCAGTAGAGTGTCGCAGGCTCGGTCACGCACGAGTCGCACATTCGTTTTGGACGAGGGAATGCCGGAGCGGTGATAGAGGCAGAATCCAGAAAGCTCTGGGACGAAGCCATTTTCTCTGCCTGCTTTTGTTGTGGCTGTTCTTGCGTCTTCGCCTTGTGATTTACAATCTCTGCCTCGGATGGCGACCGTGTAAGCGTTATCTTAGACTGCTCCGGCTTCTGAAAAACAGGCTTTCCTTTCAGGAATTTCCCTGAGGAAACAGAAGCAGGAATTACTGCTGCTTGAGTCATGGCTTCCTGAAAACAAGAAGGGATGTTTTGAGATCCCTTGAATGTCACAGATGGCCAACTGGTAGTTGATGTCTTCAATGTGCTATGCCAGACTTGGATAAGAGGGAGAAACGTGACTGTGCTACCTCAGGTAATGCTGCTGACTGGAGATTCAGGATCAACAAATTGGGGGAGGGCAGCTTGAAGCAGACTCAGTCCAGCACAGCAGGCAGAACGGAGTGAGTCCCTCGTGGATAAAGCGTTCCCTGGCGAATGGGAGGAACTCAAGACTCGCTTCGGTCCTTCGGGAATGCTCGCTGTGGTGGTTGGTATGGTGCCACACCTCCCCGTCCGTCCTTGCTTCGCTGCGAATATCCTTGGGAAGGATCACACCACTGAGACGGTGATGGGATCATGATTGGTGCAACTGGTTCTGCCCAGAGCTCCAACGGATGGACAAAGTGGCTTCGGAACTTCCCTATCGCAACGCACATGCCACCTCCAGCCATTTGATCAACCACACCACTTCGCTTTATGATCCCAAGGGCAGATCCCGGAGGTCAGCTACTCACATCTTCGGTTCGGATGTTGCACGCGGACAACCTCGTTCCACTGTACAGACTTATCCCCCAGCAGTGATGCTGCCGAGCCTCTCTGTTTTCGGCTCGGTAATCTAATCTTTCTGGCTGGCGTTATTGAGGCGCTTCGCCTCACAATTGGTTGGCTAGGGCGAATGTGAAGAGCGCTTTGGAGATGAGCGATCCGTCGCTGGATGGTGGAGCGCGAGACCACAATACACTGCGAAACGCGAACCAGTAATCCACCCACACTGCGTCAGCAAACTCAAATTCCCTGGACTCTCAAGTGGCTGTGCGTGCGTGTCGCCAACTGCATCAATTCTTCACCGCTCGTTCCGCACATCAGAGCCCAAGAGGAGGCGAGGCAGGGCAAGCATTCAGAAAACCTTGGTTTTTTCTGGTCAGTGTGAGATTCTCTCAGTAAATGCTGGAGTGGTCCGCTCTCTCAAGTTCTGACAACTGACGTTCAGGGTGTTCGAGCCGTAATTACCCAATGAAGTGTGACGTAGTCTACCTAGGTGATTATGTACATCGCTCAGAAACAACAGAGCGTCAACAGCCGCAACACAACACAAGCCTCTGGGTGGGGCATCTGTAATTGGGGCCCAAACTTTTACGATACTTGATTCTCTCGCCCATTTCCAACATCGCGAATGTAGAGCTCCAAGTGATCCGTTCACTTGTGTGCTTCAGCAAATCAGACAACACTCATAGAAACGAAACGTTTGAAACGATAACAGGCACAGCTTTAAAATAATCCATACATCTAATCTATTAGGGCCTTTCGTACTCGATACCTACTACCAGGCATCCTACATCTGTCAGTCTTTGCATTTTGTGAACACATCGACGTCGACCTATGAGATTACCTTTTTCACAAGCCTTTTGTTACGATATGATTTCATCTGAGAAGGCATTCCTGTATGCTGCAGGAGCCGACTCTACCGAGTACGAAGACGAGGAGTCAGAAGAGTCGAAGCGACGCAGCAACCGTCTGACCAAGACCCATGCAGGCAGAAGCATTCGAAGTGAAAAGAGCGGGAACAGGTTAGAAACGGGTTCCCGCGCCGCACGGTTTGAATTTCGCTGCAATAGGGGAATGTACCCTTTAGGATACATGGTTAGTCTAGGTCTTTTCGTATTCCCCTATATTCTTATATAAACCCGATGTATGCATGCTATTATCAACTCAGTCATTTACATTCACTCTGACCTGAGATTCAAACTTCCGCTGCAACGCTGCTCTGCGATCAATCCTGAGCGATCCTTCGCTAAGTCCCACTTGGGATCGTAACATGGTATGAGAGCTACCCAGGGATTCTTCGCAACATCACTTCCGTGAAATTCGCCCAACTCAGATCTGGCGAGCGGCACACGCTTCAAGACCAAGATGGCCGGAGAATCCGGAGGGCAAGCAAATCTAACGGCTCAAGAACAAACCAACCCGGCTGCGACAAATGAGGCGAGAACCACGATTCGCACTGCCGCACTCGAGCAGTTATTCACTCGACTTTCTACTATGGTGGAAGAACTCCAAGAACTGAGCAAAGGCGATACGGGAACCTCTTCCCAACCAGTTCAACCTGGACAACCGGTTGTGAAAAGCCGTGATACCACCACGCACACCTTCTCCCTCGACACGGACAAATCAACAACTGTCAGAACATTATAGCTTATGCATATTGTGTAGGCCATAGTGGGGTAGCCCATAAGGGGTACAACCCAATTAGGGTTAGTACTTGTACCCAATTCATTCATAGTCCATTCATTCCTTGTTTCATAGTCCTTCTCATGGTATCGAGCAGGTTCCCTAACGGGAACGATTCCTAGGGCCCACCACTACGATTTTTTTTTCCTGCCCGGAGCGCGCTCCACACAGCCCGAGTCGCGCTCCGTGTGCTCTCCCTACCGTCGCGCCCTCGCTAGGCCCCTCACGGCCCCGTCGCGTCGCCCCTAGCGGCCCTCTCACGGCCCGTCGCGTCGCCCTTATGGCCTGTCGCGCCGCCCTTAGTGGCTCGTCGCGCCGCCCCTTTTTGCGGCTCAGTCGCGCCGCCTCCTTCGCGGCCCCGTCGTACCGCCCTCAGCGGCTCGTCGCCGCCTCCTTCAGCGGCGTCGCCGCCTCCTTCAGAGGCGTCGCTGCCTCCCCCTTGCGGCCTGTCGCCTCCTCTTACAGCGGCCCCACCGACCCCGCGCGCCGCCCTAGCGACCTATTGCGCCGCTCGTCGGCCCCGCTTGCCACCCTTGCGGCCCTTCGAGCCGCCCGTCGGCCCACCGTGAGCCGCCCTAGCAGCATCGACGCCGCCCTTCCCGGCCCCGACGCCACCTCGGCTGGCCCCGACGCCTGCTCCTATGGCCCCGGCGCCTGCTCCTACGGCCCCGGCGTCTGCTCCTACGGCCCCGGCGCCTGCTCCTATGGCCCCGGCGCCGCCCTTCCCGGCTCCGACGCCGCCTCCTACCAGCCCCACCACCGTCCCTGATCAGGAGCCGCAGCCGCCAAGCCGCCCAGCGACCGAGCCGCCGGGCCGCCAGGCTGCCCAGCAACCGAGCAGCCGAGCCGCCCAGCCGCCGAGCCGCCCAGCAGCAGAGCCGCCGAACCACCCAGCAGCCGAGCCGCCGAGCCGCCCAGCACCGGAACCGCCGAGCCGCCCAGCAGCCGAGCACCCGAGCAGCCGAGCAGCCGAGCCGCCGAGCCGCCCGCCAGCCGAGCCGCCGAGCCGCCCTGCAGCCGAGCCGCATGCACCGCCGAGCCAGCCGAGCCGCCGAGCCACCCTGTCCGGTAAGAGCAGCGCCTCTACCCCTGCACTGCCCTTACCCTACTGATCGTACTGCTAGTCTACTGCTGTCATGGCTACCCCTAGTGTCCTAGCTTTTGACGCTGAGGGTCGGGCCATTGACTTTGACGTCTGGATCGACGACCTGCAGCTTTTCTTACAGTGCGATAGGGCAGACGGCCTCTCCCTCTTTGACCTCACTTCTGGTGCCTCTCCTGCCCCCGCTGCTGATGCTGACGCCACTGTTCGCTCACAGTGGGCCACGCGCGATGCTGCTGCACGTCTTGCTGTGCGTCGCCACCTGCCTACCTCTGAGCGTGCGCACTTTAGCCAGTACAAGAGTGCTCAGACCTTGTACGACGCTATAGTTGCACGCTACTCCTCCCCTGCCACTACTCCACTGAGCCGCCTCATGCTACCGTACCTCTTCCCTGACCTTGCTGCCTTTCCCACAGTCGCTGACCTCATTACGCACCTCCGCACTAGTGACACTCGCTACCGCGCTGTGCTTCCTGCTGAGTTCTGCGCCAAGAACCCCCCCCCCATGTACATCACCCTCTACTACTAAGTCACCCGTCTCCCTAACTCC